TATCTACACTTTTAATTTAGGTATCTACATTTCAAAAACACATCTCAAGAGAATTAATATTGATTTATGGAGCTAGTGTCTGAAACTTGAAATTCTTTACTTTAATAATAAGATTTACCTACAAAACCAACAAAAAAAATTAGTTAGTATTATATATATAGTCATTTATAATTTTAATAAATTCCAAATAAATTAAAACATACTTAATCACTTAATGTTTCTAAAAATATTAAATATAATATATATCACAATATACATCTAAAGAAATTGAAGAAGCTCATGAAATTAAATAAATTGAATTATTGATATATGCATAAAAATTTTATGATAAAAGCAAAAAAATATCTAATATAATTAATGATTCCTGTGTAAAATAACATAAAATTAAGTAATATGATAGCAAATAGGGTGCACGAACGGGAAATGAGAAATAAGGGAAGGAAAAAACAAATTATACCATCATATTGGCTGTCAAAATATTCTTGACTTTCTAATTGGTTGTCAAAATATTCTTGACTTTCCAATTGGTTGTCAAAATATTCTTGACTGTCCAATTGGCTATCAACATATTGTTGATTCTCCATTAAGCAATAGAAAAAAGAGTTTTGAAATTTATAAAAGCTATTACTTTTAAATTATGATATAAAAATAATTACGTGGGAATGAAAAAAAGTGAATTGCAAAAATAAGAGAAGAAGAGCAAGAAATTAAGGAGTGTGTGCATAATGGTTGAGGAAGGTGTATATATAATGGCTTTGGCCAACCATCGATCAAAGAGGTTAATATCAACCTTGTTGCTGATATTTGGTTGGTAGAAAGATAGGAATAATAGCAACATGGTATATGTTGCTAATACTTAAGGTAATTGGAAAGGTTTTCAGCAACATAATTCTTGTTGCTGAAAGTGAATTTCAGCAACAAGAAACATGTTGCTGAAAGTGGAGCTCAATTACATGGGAAAGGATTCACCGGAAATGGGAAAGGATTCACCGGAAATGGGGAAGGATTCATTGGAAAATATCAGCAAGGTGGAATATGTTGCTGAAAGTTACTTTAAGCAAGAAGAAGTATATTGCTGAAAGTGGAGCAGCTTTTCAAAGGATGGAGAGTCCTGTACAACTTTCAGCAACATAGGACTTGTTGCTGATACATATTTGCAGCAACAAAGAATCCCATGTTGCTGATATATTGTTGCTAAAAATCAAAGTTTTAGTAGTGTTCCCTTGTTTTCTAGATCTACTAAGAAAATCCGATACAAATTTTGTTTTTTTTTTTTATTTAAGAATACAAATATTTTAATTTTTTAAATTGAATGATAAATTTTATATTCTTTTATTTAATGATATAAATTTTATCTTTGTTATTTAAAAATACAAATTTAACTATATTTTAATTAAAATTATCATTTATCACGTTATCATCTAATAATAAACACAAAA